TTAGTTGGAATAGTGAGTAAAATAGAGAATATGATCCGACTCGCGCGCAGATGAACGCATATGCAGCTAGGGCGACTACTTATACATCTGAAGCGGGGGGCAGGGTAGTATAAGTAGGTCGTCCGGCACAAATCTCCTGCGGGCGCTTGACTGAGGTTGTTATGTACCACTTATACAGTTTTTAAGACGTTATGTATAAATTAGCACTAAGAAATGTATAATAGAAAAGTATTTGTAATAGATTAACGTGTGAAAGACGAATAAATAGTACAAAGGGGTGAGGCAACTTTTGGCGGGAAAAGGGAGGCTCGCTCACCTATAAAAGACGCACTGGCGCCAATAGATACACAGTCCAAAAACAGCCTAAGCTCGAGATACATAGAAAAACCCGAAGAAGAGCCAGCAGCCAACCTTACCACACAAAAGCCAGCCTCCAGATCTTCACAGTATATACAATCGTTGTTTAATTTGAAACCAGTCATAGGTGCAACCCGCACAAGTTGGTCCAATCGAGCCGGATTTCATAAACAACGATGTCGATCACAAGAAGAAGCGCAGAAGCCACCGCAACCACAGACAGCGCCGACGCCACAGAAACCGCAGCTACGAAGAAATCAGTCGATCGTCCTACTTCCCTGTCGTCAGAACCCGTGAGAAGCAAGACCAGCCGCTTGGGTTCTTCCTGCGCTCGCGCAAGGCGAACTCCTGAAAATCAAGCTGGAACTTGCCTATGCACGCGTAGCGACCCTGACAGCAGATGACAGCGACGACGACGATGAAAAAACCGTGCTGTCGAAAAGTCAACAAGAGCAACGCATCGACGATTGGCTAGAAACGAACGAGAGACTCAACTACAACGAATCACAGCCGAAGGAAAAGGAACACGAGCTAACAGCACCCCCACAGTCTACTCTACTGTTAGCTCAAACGAGGGAGACGCTCAATGTCTACAACGCCGGACCCGTCGACGCCGCTGCCGTGCGCGGCGGAGTTAGCGTACCACCCTCCGCCGCTGCCGCCGCCGCGCCCGCCGGGAGAAGAGCCCCCTCTACGCCGACGTTCTCGCCTTCACCCCCGCGCCGCCATTACGGAGATTCGATTCGTATGCAGAAAGAAAACGAATGCAGCGGCATTCACGACAATCCACTGCCGGATATGAAGCAAAATACCACTAAGGGAGCACAGAATAGTGATATATCCGAGTTAGCCTCCGCCATCGCAATCGCCGCAACGAAGCGGTCATAGAGAATCGTCGCGATATCACATGGAGCTGCCACAATACAACGGAGCACATCAAGAATGACTATCGTTCAGAGCCGCCTACAATTAAAGTACAAATGAGCGCAACCAACGATGCTAATCGGTCAAGACATTTGACACCTACTCATCGGGAACGAGATACGTCGAGGACAGCGACACCAACCAGTGGCATCCCTAACGCCACTCGGTGGGTTTTTACACAGCACGCACACGCGCATCCTCGGCAAACAAGTGCACTCGACGAACCACGTGACCACCCGACGCGATGAAGATATGGATCGACAGCTGAGGGAATACTTCGCGCTTGAGAACCTCCTCGTCGAACCCAAACGTTCACAGCCGGACCCAGAGGTGCGGGCGCTAGCCCAGCAGGAAAAATCTACCACCACAACGAGTGACGATCACTATCAAACTCCACTATTATGGAAACAAGAGGACGCACTGTAACCCGACAACTAAGAAAATACGCTGAAACGTCTTCACAACATAGAAAGGAAGCTGGACAAAGATGAAAAATTCAAGAAGCGGTACAATGAAGAAATGAAAGCCCTAGTCACAAAGGGCTACGACGAGCCTGCACCGCCGCAGAAACCACAGAGGGTGTGGTACTTACCCCACTTCGGAGTACACAACCCTATAAAACCCGACAAGGTCCGCATAGTCCACGACGCCGCAGCCAAGACACGAGGCGTCTCTCTTAATGACCGCCTACTCACCGGCCCCAACCTACTGCAATCACTACCAGGGGTGCTTATGCGATTCCGCCAACACGCGGTCGCGGTGAGCGCGGACATCAAGGAAATGTTTATGCAAGTCAAAGTCGACCCAAATGACATGGATGTTCTGCGATATCTGTGGAGAGGAGATCGACGCGACGGGGCTCCACCTCGAGAATACAGAATGACGTTACTCTTCGGAGCTTCGTGTTCACCGTCAATAGCGATATATGTGAAGAACACTAATGCCCAGAAGTATCAATATACTCACCCTGAAGCTGTCAAGTCAATAGTGAAGCACCACTACGTGGACGACTATCTACAAAGCTTCAAGACGGAGACGACCCCTCAATATGGTCAGAGGAGCCCCGTCAATCAGACATAGGAGACACGGGTGAATGAGAGGGTACACACGAGAACAGGAAGAGACGTCAAAACACCGTATATGTGGCTGCCATCGCCTCAACGCTTCTCCAGACGGGAACGCCTACTTCGCACTGTGGGCCGAGTCCTACAATTCGTGGACCTCTGCCGTCCCCGCCGAGCTACGACGCACTACAAACGCACGCTGAAGAACAAACAGAATGGTCCAGAGTGGTCAAAAGACCGAAGACACAACGCGCCGTAACCGCGACCGAGAACACTAGAAGAAAAGAAAGCACTATATAAAACGCTCGACGCGACGTATATGAAAGAAGCCGAAAGAATAATGTGTTCTAGTCAGCATGAAGCCTTTTACGAAGAGCTACGCGACCTACGAAATAACAAGCCTCCAGCTCCGTCTACGCACAGTCGACTGCGCCCCCTGGCGGTCGAACTTGCAAACGGAATGATAATACTGAAGACGCGAATCAACGCCGCAGCGGATATCACAGACTCACAGAAACGACCTGCAGTAGGTACTTGACGGGAATAAGTAATAAAAATTTAATTTTTAATTTAATAAAAGTAAAGTTGTACATAGATTACGTACACAGACAACTTAATCACAGTGGAGTCGAAGCGACAGTGAACGAGTGTAAGCAACATTACTGCATTCTACGGGCGTAAGCGTCACGAAAATGACAATACACCGATGTCTTCAGTGCCGCATCGAAAGAGCTACGCTAACAGTCCCACCTACCGGGGACCACCCACGCTATCGACTGGCGCATCACCAGCGCCCGTTCACCTGCACGGGTCTGGACTACTTCGGCCCATTGACTGTCACCGTTGTCCGAACAACACAGAAAAGATACGTCGCGCTGTTCACTTGTCTCACAACGCGCGCCGTACATCTAGAGGTGGTGACCAGCCAGCCTCAGCCTCATGGCCCTCAGACGAATGATCGCGCGCTGCGGCTGCCCGACAGAAATTTGGTCCGACAATGGCACCAACTTCCACGCCGCAGACAAGGAACTCCGCCAGGCGTTCGCCGATGCAGCTCAAAACGAAGCAGAGAAGCATCTCATCAAATGGCGCTTCATCCCTCCTGGAGCCCCCTTCATGGGCAGGGCGTGGGAGCGACTGGTGCGATCGGTGAATATAGCCCTCGACGATACACTTAGGGTCGTATTCCAGAACTGTACTCAATGCTCAAGTCAGGATTTGAGTATGATTCAAAGCACTACAAATCATACTCAAGTCCTTGCCATTAGGGTCGTATTTCCAGTGCTTGAAATCATACTCAAGTCTGCCAAATCCTGACTTGAGCATTGAGTAGAGTTCTGGAATACGACCCTAAGAGAGCGACGAGACCCTCGTCACCTTCCTGGTCGAATCAGAATACACAGTGAACAGCTGGCCACTCACCCGCGTGTCCGTGGATCCATGCGGGCCCGGAGCCATCACCCCAAACCACTTCTTATTGGAGGGATCATACAAATATGTGTAATGCAAATACGGAATCGTCGCCGCGCGCCTTCCCCTTCTTATAGCTGAAAACGACGCGACGCGACGCTACGACTCTGCGCCAGTGAATTGAGCCTTACGCGCGTAAATCTAGGCAGTTCGACGCTTTACACAAGCGAGATGTGACTTTTTACGGAATAAACCATTTTCATTTCTATTCAAGGAGAACCATTTTCCTAAGGGCAGTTTGCAGTAAAACCTGTCGTAATAACTTAACGATGGTTAGTGATTTTTACATACTACGTAACCTGACTCCATGGCATGTCTGCAAGGGTCAGTTCTCTTCTTCAGGAACTCCTCTCTGTACTTTTTGCGTCTTTCAATCTGCCGCTGGATTATTTCACATTCTATTGGAGAATAGCATGCTTTTGACATTCTTCTCTGTTGTTTATTAAATATTTATTTGGGGTAAACTTCTTGAAATAACGTTAAATTAAATTTAAATTCTGTGATTCAACTCGCTTTTGAAAGTTGATCTCAGTCAACAATAAAAAATTACAGTCTGAATTTGTCAGTGACACACATTATGTTCTTCCTATTGTCAAACTTTGTCTCCAAATAGGTGTTAGCCAAATATTATTTGACTGCCATGTTTGCCAGTACTTTTTAATGAAAATACCTGTCATTTTATATAGGGTGTAATCGTTAAGAGTGTCCAGACAATTATTCCGTAAATATTAATATCAAAAACCTTATGACTGATATCAAAAGTACTTAACGTACTTAATTAGTAAAACAATGTCAATAACTTTTTTAAAATAAAACTAGAAATAGCAAAATTGTAATGTTAAACACTACCACACATTTATATGACAATCGTAGAGACTAACTACAAGGAATAGCAAATATAGCTGTAATATAAGCTCATGTTGCTTAATACAGATTTCAGTCTCTCACAAGGTTTGCAACATCTTTTTAATAAACCATTATTTTTATTTTAGATACCTACCTTTTTTAGATTTTCTCCTCTCCCATGGCCTAATTAAATTTTAATTCTTTTAATGAGGCAGTATTCCCATTACCATATATGTATGCATGTTTTTTATGAAAAATGTAGAGCATGAGTAGGTTAGAATATACAGTATGAAAAAAAACCCTTTATCTTTTTATAATTATTTTTATTTAAATTAAACTTGTGTATTAACAATAGTATAACCCTACAGGACATTAGATTGTGTGTGTAAATACACGATTAATCTATTGTAATTTGAATAATCGATCTCTGTACTTGAGTTCGCCGCTACGGATTTTTGCTTCCCTGCCTGAGCGTTCCGTCCATACCCAATAACCGTAGGCAAACATTGGGATAATAATAGTTGCAATTCCAAACAGTGCCGTCCTTCTATTGGATTCGAAAAATTCAAATTGAGTGACTTTCATGGAGTTGAATCTTTGTATGGCTGTATCAAACTGAAAAAAATACTAGTGTAAAGAACTGACTGATAGATTAGCTAAATAAATGTTTCTTCCCATAACATTTATAAGTTACTTTCTACAATGTAAACAATTCAAGAAGATAATAACACAATTACGTAATTAAAGTACATACGACGTATCCAGACTCCGCGGCGTTTTTCCACGGGTTGGTGCGCTGTTTCAAGAATTCTCTCCTCATCTCTAGTCGCCGAGCTGCCTGGGTTTTAGCCAGCTGCAGCTCGGCTTCGGATATGCCATAGTTATTGGCCATTTTAAAGAAAATAACCAAATTCTCACAAAAGTGAGGATTTTCGGAATTATAATCAACTGACGTTTGTTGTGACAGCTACTTGTCATAGAACCATTCACTCTTTGATGATCGCAGCCATACATAAACTATGGAAGCTCCATCCTCAAGCAGCCATATAGGTACAGGGTCAAGAGCACGTCAAGCTTTACACTTAAGACTTAACTCCAACTGTATGCCGCTTACGATAAGAATGGTTCAAAGTACAACAAAGTGTCAAGCTTGATGTGCTCTTGACTGTACCACACCATAAACTAAAATAAAACATTTACGGTTTTTGCGATGAATGAATGACCATGAACGAACGATCGCGATCGAGTTGGTCATAGTGAATGGATCCGCGTCTTCCGGGCACCATCTTTTTGGTTTTCCTTGTTGTCGTTGTCAGTTCGGCTATTTTATAAAAAAGCCGCAACCATGGGTCGTATGCACGCACCTGGGTAATTTATTTGTTAATTTACTTATTGTAATTATGCTCTGAGTGACACCTATTGTTTTTAGTGGTGTGAGAAGTCCAATGTTGAATGAGAAAATTTCTAACCTAGACTGCCTTCAAGGCAACCACATGGCTGTGTTTCAATTATGATTTTTTCGTGTTTTCAGTAAGGGTATTTCCCAATCAGCACTGCCGTACCGCCGCAGTGTTCCTACATGGTTGAAATTGACCGCTGATGATGTAAAGGAGCAGATTTTCAAACTTGGCAAGAAGGGCCTTACACCCTCACAAATTGGTGCGTATTTTTCTCATATCTTTACTTTTAACCTATAGTAAGTTCGTGATATAATCAATAAATGAAAAAGGTAGCCCATAAAAACTTGAAATTATCGAAATAGGGCTCTGTTTCATGTTTCTTGAATGCCCTTTTTTTGAAAAAATCTTTTAGAGGGAAAAATACCAGGTTTTGTGCTGTAGTAAATACAATTTTTTAATCCTATAAACAGATATTACTAGAAGACATGGCAGTATAAAGTTTAATCCTTGCCTATCCTTTTCCAACAAAACCAACAAAATAAAAATGTATAAACTCACAAAATTGTTACCAATAGTGCGTCAAGTAGTTCCATAAGTCACAAAAGATGCACTATTTCTTTACAAATCCTTGCAAAGATTTAGCTTCAATATACAGTAAGCATCACTCCATCTAACTCAACATAATTTCATGTTTCTAAACTAATATTCCAGGTGTCATGCTGAGGGACTCACATGGTGTGGCCCAAGTCAGATTTGTCACTGGTAAAAAGATCCTTCGTATCATGAAGGCTATGGGACTGGCCCCTGATCTACCCGAGGATTTGTACTACCTGATCAAGAAGGCCGTAGCCATGAGGAAGCATTTGGAACGCAACAGGAAGGACAAGGACAGCAAATTTCGTCTTATCCTGGTTGAGTCTCGTATTCACAGGCTAGCTCGTTATTATAAGACAAAGAGTGTGCTCCCACCAAACTGGAAATATGAGTCGAGCACAGCCTCAGCCCTGGTGGCTTAAGTCTAAATAAACTTTAACACACATACATTGTTTTTTCATAGTTTTTAGTGATATTTAGGTTCCTAAGTTCCTGATATTTACGCCTCTCGGTCTCCCCAAAGGAAAGGGTATTAGGCCAAAGTGTGCCTGGCTACTGTAATGTATGTTGAGGACTACACATTTTACAAGGGTTGTGAAACTTTGATTTGGACGTGGTTTCGCTATGATATTTCAAAATTTAAAATTATGGTTGAAATGGTTTTTCTCTCAACTGAGAAACAACCTCTGAGAGTGGTCTCAGTAATGAAAAAAGACTTGGGTCTTTTCATTTATGTAATACTAAAAGTTACTGTTAGTTCTGTGAAAAGTTTAAATAAAACTATAAAATATTTTTTGTAACATACATTGGAATTTCATCCAGAACTTAAAAAAAATACTGAACGGATCTTATTGCGAATAATGTGATTATTTTTTATTTCTACATCATATAAATTTTCCATAAGATATCCATTTATAAACGAGAATAAAATTGGTTTCATTCAGAGTTGCTGAGGATATCAGAATCCGCATCTGTGGTGTAATCTGCAAAGATTAAAATATCAGCACCTGCATTCATCAATGCTGATATTCATTGTGAATGTTCGAGTCATGATATGACCTATAAGGCCGGCTGGAATAATAAACCTTCCAGAAACATAAGGCAAAAAAGCAGCTCAGCTGTTGTTTTAAAATATAATTTTGATGAACTTACACAATGATTAAACTAAGCAGATCATTGACTTACAATTATATGGACGTCAGGTCCACGCTAAAAAGTGTCCGCACTTGTAAGGCGCTAAAATCGTATACAGAGCGCGACACTCCGCTTTAGTCTTCATTTGTTCTACGGACAGCGACATACTGCGATGACAACAATTTAAATTTCGAATAGGTTGACTTGGGACATTTTTTTCATGGTTTTTGTATTAGACCCGTCGTCCATTTATTTGTAAGTCAATGAAGCAGATTGACTATTTCATGAAGTCTTGTTATAAACATCACAAAATCATAGAAATAATATTTTATTACAATACCAAAGAAAATAAAAAGCTTTTTTATGTAGATGGATTCAGTAAGGATGTACACACACCAGCACATCAAACTACACATTGACGAATCTAGTTCCGTTGAACTGGAGGCGATTTTCGAACAAAAATGTGTAGTCTTATGTGCCGTTGTCCGTACATTTTATGCATATTTTCTTGAAATACTCTGCTGATGTTAAGGTAAAAAAATCAGCATTCGCTGATGTAAACAAAAACGTGCATGAGCAACAATCCTGCTTTGATTCAGTACTTTCCATAGAGTTAAATTCAATAAAATGCTAAACTCCTTAACAATAAAAAAAATTTATTTACACAAGTTACAATAAATATTTAAACACAATTTTAACATTATCAATATCACAATTTACTCTTAAATATATAAGTACTAAACATAGGGATTCCAATTGCTCCCATCTTCAGGATGTAGACTATTAGTTATCAATAACACTACATCTACAATCCACCAAATGCCTAAGCCTCCTAAAGTAAGTAACTTCCCAACAGCTGTCCCTGTTTGGCCTAAACAGAACCTATCCATGCCCAAAAACCCTAATAATATACTGTAGATTAACGTAGTAGTGAAGTAATGGCCGGAGTACTTCACGCATGGAAAGCCATCGCGTAGAAAGCTTCTTATCCCATGACATTCGATCCCATCGAACACTTTACATTGCGCCTTTGTAATTTCTACATCTTCATAGTAAACACCACCGTATTTGACGCAGCCGTGACCAAGAGCTTCTTTTGCTGTATGATTGCCTTTGTGATCGTATGGATCGTCGCAATCCAGGAATTCCAAGGGTAGAAAAGTGCACTTAACGAGGGGTCCAAGAGGTCGATAAGGTTCGTCTTTGTATGGGTTGTTTGCAGACTGAGTTGAAGGCAAAACGACGAAGACTATACATGAAATTGTGACTAGTTGGTTCATTTCTAATTAGCTTTGGGTTTACACTCATATAAACTTGTTTTTATTAAAAAATAATATGTACACCACATAAACATGACGATTTCGTCGTTGTTTGACGTTTTGCATTGCATTTATGAAGGTCGATAATGGACTATATCGCACACGAAATGAAACCAATGTCATAACTCGAAATGAGAAAAAACGATTTGAAAATAAAAAAAACATTGAATGAAACCAATATTACATATACTTGTTTCTATTGGATAATTAAGTATTATGTACAAATAAAAATAATCACTTCGCAATAAGATCCATTCAGTATTTTTTATTTTATTTTCATATTTTGTTTTCTCAATTCCACAATTGAGTGTGAATTATATGTCGTCGTCTTTAAAATAATCATTTAAAAAATCTTTAATTAGTTATTCTTAGTTGCATAAAAAATTGATTTCGTCAGTTCACCATTTTAAAGGCACAAGGGTGTTTTACTATCCACGTCTAATAAACGTCGAATAAACTTAGTTCGGCTTATTTGCAGTGGAATTTTTTAATGACAATCATAACATTTTTATTAAGATCTATATGTTTTATTGGAACAGATAAAATGTAAGATGTATGATTTATTTTATGATGGCGAGTAATAGAAGAAGAAATCTGAATAACCTTAAAAATGTGCAGGAAGATAAGCACAGCTGCTTGTATTTAAATCTGAAATAAGAACGATCCAAAGTTCAAAATGTCACGCTTGATGTGCTCCTGGCTATACAGCACCAATAACAAAACTTTTAATGTTCCACTATGGGAAAAGATTTACAATAAAGACTATAATATATACCCCATTCAAGAACGTGTGTACAAAAAGAATGATGGAAGTGGAGGAAGCCAAAGAAATTCATCAGGAAATTTGCCAATGGAGGCCATAAAGTCTGTCTACTAATAGGTATGTATGTACGAGTCTACTTTTCCCAGGCTTTCTATAGCTACCTTTGTAAATAAAGTTATCGTTCAGAATTGATTTTTGTTCATCCAAACTTTCAACAGTCCTGGCACCACATTTATTAACGAAAACTATAATGTCAAACCATGTTCATTCAGCAAAAATTATTGTGTTGTTCGCTGTAATGATTTTTGTTCCTAATTTTCAATAATTCCTTTGCAATTATAAAATATGGAAGTTTTTAACAAGTTCTACACGTCAGTTACAAGTACAGTATCGCAATTATCCGGTGTGCTGCCTGGAAATCCCGTATTAAGAGAGTTCGAGGCCACGCAGTTTGTAGCGACCGCAGGACCAGGTAAAACCATATCAGCTCTAATTGCAGTTTTGGTGCAGCTTTATCTTAACTCTCACTTGCCATTCAGGGCATTGGCTACAAGTTTAAAGTCTTTGTTTTGGCGTAAACATAATAAAGTCAATGTCATACTAATGATTGTTTTTCATAATATGTTTAGTTCTATCATTATTCTAGAAGTATCTTAGTTGAAATTTTAAGACTTAAAGGATTTTTTAAACTATTGAGGCTATTTGAAGATATTCATTGTGGAAATAAATTATAAAAAGAATCATGTGTATGCACCCAATCAGTGTATAAATTCTTTGATATAGTACAAGTAGATTCTTATTTGAACAAAATAAGTTATTTATAAGCAAAATGGGACATAGTTACACAAAAAGGATCCAATGCACATCCAGTCACTTTTAAGATAAGGCAGTTTGAAGTTTAAGTGTTTCTCACTTTTGTTTTATTTTCAAAACTTAAAATGTCATGTAACTCCTGAGATATTTATTTATTTTTATATGTTGGATTTTTTTGCTGATCTAGATCTAGACTTTAGGAACCGTTTGGTACATACAGGGTGTCCCGGAATGCGACGTCAAGCCGGTACGGGGTGATAGGCCAGGTCATAACCGTTATCAGAAAAATCCAAAAAAAAATCTATGTCATGTATTTTAAAAATTATGACCATTTGGAAAAAAAATCGAAAAATATACACCCTGTGACGCATTTTCACTTCCCGTTTCTACAAATTTCCACTTTATTTTCATTTTTTTTTTATTTTGTAACCCTGAGTAATGCTCCTGTAGCTAGTAGTCTAAAATTTTGACCCAACTGCTCTAGTTTTGAAAGAAAATGACACATTATTCCCATATCAAAAAAGAAATTGAATTTTTGGTTCAATTTCAACTGACATTACCGAAAAAAAAATGTACTACACTGGTTGGGCAAGTAGCTTTAAAAGTTGGCACATTTTAAGAGGATTCCAAAATGGTATGACACTTGCTACATTATTTCTTAGATTATGGTCAAATTTTTATTTTTGTGAACGAAACCGGTTTTCAACTATTTTTTATTTCTTAATTTAAAATGATTTAGTGTACCCAATCCTTCCCTCGGAACGGTAACTAACATAATTCTAGTATGAGAGAGCCATTTTACGAAGTGATTGTATATGTTGCAGAGATCCTTCTTTAACAAATATGGTTAATAATACAGAACTCATTCAGGACGCTGCAGTTATACTGTCTATTTGGTTTTTGTTTACTCAAATAAAAAGACACCGAAGATAACATTCAACTTCATTACAAAGATTTAAGAAAATATGAAGATAAATTTGGTTGATTTTCAATAGCAAATATAAATTTATTGATGTTGACATCTATTGTAGAAAACTGAACATGCTTGCTCTTAAGCTTAAAAATCGTCGCAGCGTTATCAGTGTGTTTGACGGCGAATGCTTCCATACAAAATGAGGTACTTCAATACAACGTTAAAAAACACAGCTCTGCGCTCCATCGTGGGGCACGGTGCAGTGTGATAATCGCCTTATTGATAATCATAGTTTAATTTGGCCTCAGCACAGATATATAATACTGTACCAGTACAGATACACAATTACATACAAAGAAATATCTCCTCTCGTAACTACACTTATATGGGTGCTTATTTTTATTCTTAACATTAGATGGTACTAAGTAAACCTATGATGCAATTGTAATGATATTCGAAAAGGACAACAGATGGCAGCTCTTATATTACTGTCAAGGTTGTTGCTCTTCTTCAGGCAGTGATTATTTATACAATAACTTTTTTTTTATAACATCAAGTAACGGTACAAACAAGTTGTGCGCCTGATGGTAAGCTCACTCCATCCATAACAATGCAGTGCCACTCAGAGCTTTCAACCGCAAAGATCTGAAGGGCACTGCCTTTGCGCCTGTCTCCTTGGGACATAGTTGCCAAGTCCCATGTGCCTGTATTTTCACCAGCATCCTTTAAAACAGGAATGCAGTAATGGTCACATTGCTACTTGGCAGCAGAAATAGCTAAGGTAGCAGTACTTCCCTGGACGAACTCTTTCATAAGGAGCTCTACTGCTATTAATGAAACATGTAATAAAATCACGAAGAAGCTGAGTCAGTTACTTTTAATATTTTAAAATAAAAGTTATTGTGTAAAACATTGCTTAGTTTCGAGAGAGAATTCAAAGAAGTTCCATCTATACAATTCATTGCAAACTAACGAATTAATTAAGTATACCATTGAGAAGCCTTGGATTTGTTATCTTTTCAACTATTATCACAATCGTAAATAATTTTTTTAAGCATTCCTAAAATATTGTTTAAATAGTTTTGCATTTCTTTTTTATATTTTGTGCTTCTTGTTTAGTATGACATACCATCTCAAATATTTGAGATTCAAACCTTTGATTTTATCCAATTGTTATTATCTACAATTTTAATTATGTACATACTTAAGTTAATTTGCATGAATTGATACCCCTCGGCTTGAGTAACACGCGAAAGTAATAATTGCCAATTTACAACTTGTGCGCTGTTGTTTGTCTAGTGACAATATATGCAATTAATGTTTCCCTACTAAGACCAAACAAGGCAATCCCAGTGGTTTCTTACTCATTCCTCTGAATTAGTAGTTGTGTATTTAAGCAATTTGATAAAAGGAGGTTCAGAACAAAACCTGGCAAATATGATAAATTTCGATTCTAATTTCGTACATCTGTGCATTTGAATAGTATTTTGAAGTAATATTAAGCAGTTGCTGTTTAAGTTGGATAAATTATTCAGAAACATACAAAACCTACCATTTGACGTTAAAAAAGAAGAACAAGTCGAAATGTGACTTGTCCGTTTTTGTTCTGACGCTCCACAATCCCCAAGCATAATTTGCTTACCTATAAAATAAAAGATAATTTCTATTCCAATAATGTTGTTTACCAGAACGACAACGTTTTCTATTGAATATTTTACAATGTTGCCAAATAATTAGGTAATGCGTAAGTAATAATTTTTTGAATGTTATAATATTGAATGTAATATATCTTTCTGTACTAGTGCTTTTTACAAGGTCTCATAATAATTTATAATAACCCACTTGCAATGATGATGATGTTTAAAAAAAAATTTGTTTTTATCTCAAACTTTTTCTATACAATACAATTGTAATTGCGCCAACTATATTTATTTGACAAATTTAAAGTTTGGTAAGCCAAGCATTTGTTTAAATTCCTGCGAAAGAAAAGAAAAGAATATTGTGACAAACAGACCGATAGACTTGGCTCTGAGTTAGAATTACTGGTGATCACATTAGATCACTTTTTGGTTACGATGATGAGAAACTCTACTTTTGTGTAGATATAAAAATTCATTTAGTTTTAGCTTATTACGTATTTGTCAACACTGAAATCATATCACTTATGGAAAAATTTACATAAGTAATATGAGACACTAAAAACTGTTTATAGGAGAATTTGAAAACTATTACTTTATTTGTGATAATTTAGATAATTTTTTATATTTAAATTATACATTTTCCACTTAACTCTACATGTATTTTCTTAGTTAGGTGATACTGAATAACAACCCAGCTTATAAACAAAATGTAATCTGTTACAGGTCTTCTATGGAAAGTGTATAAGGGCTACAAAAAATCCACAAAACAGGAGGCTTCCATATTTGTTTTTGAGAAAAAATGTTTAGAAAAGTGGCAAAAAGGCGACAGGGATGCTATGATAGACATATTGAAACACGGCATTGTACAACTCACCAAACTACGACATCCCCAGATTTTAACCGTACAGCATGGTCTTGAAGAAAGCAGGGAAAGCCTAGCATTTGCCACAGAACCTGTATTCGCAAGCCTCGCAAACATAATCGAATACCAAGATACTCCGCCCATACCACACCTAAAAGATTACCAACTCTATGATCTCGAAATTAAGTATGGTTTGACGCATATTGCTGAGGGATTAGCATTTTTACATAATGATGTCAAGCTTTTACACCGTAACGTGTGTCCAGAGTCAATCTTGGTCAATCAGCAAGGCGCTTGGAAGATATTTGGGTTTGATTTTTGTATTGCAAATACAGCAGGGCCTGGGGCAGAAACTTTCTGGCCTTTCCAAGAGTACTGCCCGGCAAATCATCATTTGACTCAGCCTAGTCTTGACTTTTTAGCCCCAGAAATCGTAGCAGCGAAAACACATTCCCAAGCTAGCGATATTTATTCGCTCGGAATGCTTATTTACACGCTGTATAGTCAAGGGCATAAACCGCTTGGTATGGTAGGATCTGATATGAACAAATATAAACAGTTAATAAATTTACTGCGAACGAACATCAATGCGAAGCTGTCTTGCATCCCAGAAAATTTGAAGGAATACGTTAAGTTGATGCTGAATAATGTACCTCAGTTGAGACCCGATCCACATCAGTTTTTGAAGGTAAGTTAAATAATGCTAGTTTTTTTAAGATGAAATCATTATGTTTATGAAGCTTGGAGTGGGTATGGAGAAAACATAAGCAAATAAAATACTCAAGTTCCAAATACTGAGGGACGAAGAAGAAAACAATTGAACGATTGTTTTAGTATGTTAATGATTTTAGTTTATTCCGTAAGTTATTTTATTAACCACTTAAAAGTGAGACCTATTATTATAATTTTATAATAATAATGTACCAGAATTACACTAATTGCCTGGTTTTAAACTAGCACCGGAATTCACTCCGGCACTACCCGGAACACCCATACCAGAACCAAAATCGATTCATTTCTTAAACTGATCACGCCACAAATTGAATTCGGAATTATTTAACCTCCAAATGCAAATCGTTGGGTTACCAAGATCGTCATCGCTATTTTAGATTCTCGTATCTCCCATTGACTAAGAGATAAATTTTGACTTTAGCAATGGCACGGACAGCCAGGGTCAGATACTCCGGTTCAAGAACCGGCGACCGATAAACAAGCATTTAGAAAAATTCATGAGGTCCGCTGGTACGTTCCGTGGCTTAGTTGACATAGCGTCTGACACGGTTTGCTAGAAGACGTCGGTTCGAAACCGGCCGGATCGAAGGAATTTTTTCTAAGTGTTCGATCTTATAACAAACTATTAAGATACTATTATACTAATTATAACAAACTAGTGGAGTAATTTGAATATCAATTCAATAGAAATTTAATTGGGATTATATCAGTGACGGCCACAACTCACATATTGGTGACTTCGTCTGCCATATAGAGATACTTATTATGGTGGCTTATTCAGAGTGCCGGGGACAAAATGGGGTAGATGAACGCACTGACTGACCTTGGGTTGTTTCTTCGATAGTTGCGTCGGTCGCCGGTCTTTATGTCTGTCCAGGTGTTGGGGGGTTGTCGCGCTGTCCACTCTAGTCTCTCTCAGACTGATGATGTATTAAGATGATTTTCCGTATTGTCGTTGGACAACTGCTACGGTGATATCGCGTCAAAGCGACCGTTCGCTAGCGCGGCTTAGTTGCAACAGAACCCGTCAAAACGGGGAATGTCCTACCCTCAAATCAATGCGTTTTTTACGATAGGAACAGAGGGTGGGTGGTGGGTGGGTAGATCTTTTGGGCATTTGCGAAGAAGCCTACGCAAACGCCCAAATAGCTTATGCTGTTCTTTATCACTGCAACCAGTTACATCATCTGTTCACCAATAATATTACAATTCAGAGTCACGACCAACAAAATCAAAGAACTGAGCGTTTTTATTAGCATCGATTATTTTTTCCTCATCTGGCTGGGACAGTGTTTGCCCAAAATCGACTTTCGATGAGATTTCTCAGTAAATTCATAACTCCATTGTTTTTATAAAATAATGTTAAGTCATTGACTTACAATTATATGGACGTCGGGTCCGCGGTAAAAAGTGTCCGAACTTATAGGGCGTTAAAATCGTATACAGAGCGTCATTCACGCTTTAGTCTTCGTTTGTTCGACTGACAGCGAAGCAAGCAAAATGAGACAATACTGCGATGACATTACAATTTAAATTCAACGTTTTAGATTTTTCATATTCCTTTACATGTCACTACGTTTAAATAGTCAACCTTGGGACATTTTTTTCGTGGTTTTTGTATTAGACCCGTCCTCCATTTATTTCTAAGTCAATGTGTTAAGTACATTATTGTTGTGATTTTTTTTTTCAGATACCTTACTTCGAAGACGTCGGCGTGAAGGCATTGAATTATCTGGACTCGCTATTCCAATGGGACAATTTACAAAAATCACAATTCTACAAAGGCCTGCCGCAAATAGTGCAGAATATGCCTCATAGGATTTGCGTGTATCGCGTCGTACCTTGTCTTGCAAAAGAGTTTGTTAACCCACCTATGGTTCCTTTTGTACTACCTATTGTCTTGCTCATTGCTGAAAAAGCCACGCAAGAAGAATATATTCGACACATACTACCGATTCTGAAACCAGCTATGACGATACAAGATCCTATACAAATTCTTCTTATTTTCATGCAAAAGATGGAAGTTATTCTCAAATTGACACCCGCGGAAGAAGTTAAAAGTGACGTACTTCCAATGCTTTGTAGAGCGTTGGACTCAGACGCCCAACAAATCCAAGAACTTTGCTTATCAGTTCTGCCCACATTCGCCTCGTTGATAGATTATCCTGCTATGAAAAATGCTCTTCTACCTCGTATAAAGAAGCTATGTTTGTCAACCAATTATGTTTCCGTGCGTGTTAACTGCCTGTTGTGCATCGGGAAGTTGCTGGAGCATTTGGATAAGTGGCTGGTCTTGGATGAGATCATTCCTTTCCTGCCACAGATAACCTCAAGAGAGCCGGCAGTTGTGATGGGCATATTAGGTAATTATAGTACTTAAAAAAGAAAGTCAAAGTGTTGCTGATTTCCCTGAGAAGAACGAGCAAGAAACTCTAGGGATTGCTCTTTTCAAATAAACTTAAATGCTATGGAATACACTTTGAATCAAATTTATGTGGATTCTGGAGCCGTGTCGTCTTTCCATACATTTTTATCTAACGCGTAGTCTTCAATTTTGTAATATGACTGTTCAATCAAAATATTTTTAATGTATCGAGTTCTTAGGTTTTCGCGATTGTTACACATAGGAAATGAAACTGTTTTTCCGGATTTAAATCGCGTATATTTTTCTTTTTAATGTAGTTTTTAAACTTAGGAAATGATAATATATGCTCCGGAATCTTATTGTAAAAACGTATACAGTTCCCCTTAAAAGAGTCGTTTACTTTGGTTAAACGAAATCGTGGTACCATGAGTTTAGACTTAGCTCTAAGGTTAATATTAAAAAATAAATACCACCCTCAAATTCTGAGAATGACTAGATGTCGAGGTGCAGCCACTTAAAACTAATTGGGATCATTAATAGCTAAATTTTGCCTGTTTTACGCCACAAGTAACAAGCTAGCAGGCGATTGACAACCACATGATGCGTCATTCTGTCGTAAGATGGCGCTGTTTGTCTCTTACATCGATTATGAGGCAGGAGTCCTTCCACTCATATTAAAAAAACTATTGTTTTTCACATTTACGTTTCAGGAGTCTGCAAGCTAGCCCTCAGTCACAAGAAGCTCGGCATTACAAAGGAAATAATGGCAACCAAAGTGCTACCATTCCTCATACCTCTCTGCGTCGAGAACGGGTTAACCGTAAACCAATTCAACGCAATCATAGCACTTGTCAAACAAATGATATCTATTGTGGAAACTGAGCATAGAGCTAAGTTGGAGCAACTTAATTCAATACATAACGAGTCTAAGTAAGTTTTGTTCTTATTAAGTATGTTCAATTTTTGTCCATGGAAGAATGATCTATCCCAGCCGTCAGCAAATCGAGGCTAGCGAGCCATATGTGGCTGTTCGGACTCTACAAGTGTAGCTCTTCCACAAAATACTGATACCAATGAAGTTATACAAGTGTGGATGGGAGAGTTGGAAGAGGGCAACCTAAGCGAATGTATCTCAATCAGACTTAGGATGTTTTCAGCAAAAACCAGCTTAGGAGTACCCTAATGTTAATAACAATGTACAGTCAAGAGCACATCAAGCTTGACACTTTGTACTTTGGACCATTCTTATCGTAAGCGGTATAGAGTTGGATTTAAATCTTCGGTGTCGAGCTTGACTTGCGCTTATATATAGTTTAAGTTTATAGAAATAGCTATAGAATTAAATTTCAATTGCTGCACCCTTGATATATCGGTCTGTTGATTAATAAGTTTGCCGACTGACCTGACCGAAAAGTATATTATTAAAAAATACACAGAATTTTGTAATGTATCTGAACAGTGTGATAATAATAATAAAATTTCCAGGGGCTTAGAAACGACACTCACTTCACCAGGAACGCTGGTCCCATCAATGCCTCCAAGCTCAGACGTTGACAAAATGTTCTCCGGTTTGGGCATAGAGCCATTCTCATTGGACGCATCTACTACTAAGGAATCCTTGAACATCAAACCTTTGGCTAGCGGAACACATACATTGAGCATTGAGGAGAAGAAGAGGTGAGTTTGACACTACTGCAACATTACAAACTTTCAATAAAAGCTGTTTGCTCCAATGCCAACAAAGAACAATTGTATATTATGTTAACCTATTTCTAGTCCCATGTGTCTGTTATTTCACCAGCACCCTGAGCCTTCAAAACCTGAACACAGTAATGCTCACATACTGCTTAACGGCAGAAATAGCTAAGATGGCAGTAAAATAATATAATTGTACAGCATCCATAAAATCAATTTTACCAGTATACATTACATTTGATATTAAGTTCTAGTTATAAAGTAATCGAAAGTATCAGGACCCCGATTCAGAACTCGTTTACGGAGTTACTCGGTGAAATAGATTATAAGAAAAATGAAAATCTTTTTATATACATTTTTAAGACTTTAAGGCCTCAAATATAGGAATGTATGTATGTACCTGTCTTGCATTAAAATAAATTAACAAAATTGAACAAAGTCCATGCTTTATTTAAAATAATAAGAGATTTCCATATTACATTCTTGCTTTGTAAACAATAGGGTGTTCGGTAACTTGCATTCGATAATGTGTTCTAAATAAAGTTTGTAGCCTTTGCCGGTCGAGAGGTTCGAATAATCGTACTGGTGTGACGTCATTTCGGTTCGGATTCGAATACTACAGTTTGACGTTCGATTCGGGTATTGTGAATAAAATCGTACGATATCTTTTGCTTTATATCAAATCGAATCGGTCGACAACTGAGTTATCGTAAGGTTCTGGATTAAGATACAATGCTATTATTCAATTGTACCTGTCTTGACCGATCGATGTGCCTTGAGATTGTGAAGTGCCTGTTGTGGATAGCCATGTCATTTACCACCAGGCCCACGACTTGTTCATACCATTAATTAATATCATAAAAAAATAAAAATATACTTCGCGTCATCATTTATGAGCGATATGGAGATTGTGCGATGATTCTTTATTAACAAACGTCACGTCAGTTTGACAGTTGTTAAAATTTGACAGTTGTTAGTGATAAACGGTAATAACTATCAAAATTTATGGAAATTAGTTTCATTATGATATAGCGTCTCCTTGGACTTACTCGTTCACTCCAGTGCAGTGGGACGTACATGGGTTGATGTAATAATTGAATGTAATTTTTCATTACAGAATAGCGAACCAGCAAGAAACAGCGCAACGTTATGCATTGCATCAAAGGTTGCCTTCCCCTAAAAGTGTTGCTACGCCTGGCTTTGCCCCCAAGAAGCCTGTCGACCTCACACGTACGCTCTTAGAGTCGAACTTGAACCAATTAACAACAACCAAATCCTTAAACCCGAACATTCGTCCAGGTGTTGCTTCTACTGTTCAAAATTTGAATGTTAACCCCACAGTGCCCAATTCAACGATGTCCTTTCAAACTACAAACTTTTATCGACCATTAGGAATGGAAAACGCAAATCCGCTTTTACAAAGCAACCAATGGGAAAACAGTAATAATTCCCATATAAACAATAAGTGGATGAAACAAAGTAATCAGACACATAACATGCGACAGGATTGGTCAGCTTTCGAATCTCTACTCCCCGAAGAGAGTCAAGGTACAAGTAATAATAATGACGTAAAAAAACTGAACACAAATGAAATGATGGATTTCTTGAGTTAAAATATTTTGAATGCTAGAACAGAATTTGGGACAAAAAACTTTACGCCACAGCTACATTAAAAAAGCGGTTATTAATAACTCTGTGCATATCGCACGCACAGAAAAAGTCCTATCTGCAACGTAATAATGACTGAAAATAAAAAATTGTTACGTATCATGACCGTAAACCCAGAGGCGTAGGTAAAGGGCATACGCTTTATCATTAGAATGAAACCACACAGCTCTGTACAGCCTCCATCCAACAGCTTCCACCAATCCATTTCGTCCAAGGAAGTATTAGAGGTCAAAAAGGTAAACAAATATGGCCGACTGACAATAAATATGTACAAGAACATCAGTTTTATTTAAATTTCAAATCCAGTTTCAAATCGCTATTTTGTATAAATTTGCATAGCAATGATAAAACGACTACTATACCTGTAGGCCTATATTGAATGTTCTAATGCCTGGTGGAAGTCCTTTCTGGCCTTCTCTAAAATTAGACTAGTCGCTAGTGGAATTGATCTCTTCTTCTTTATAATGTTATAGCTTCATCGATACCATCGATGATTCCGCCAATGTCGAAATAAGGAACACACGCGTTTTTTTAATTTAATATTTGACTCGTGAATTTCCACACAAATCACTGAGAGTAGAATCTACAACAACAGAGAACTTACGCAAACTATTACAGAAACAAATTGTTATTTTTAATAAATTTACATAGGACATATACAAAGGGAGAGTGGGCTGACTTTAGGAGAAAGTTGATATTAACAAGACGGGGGATTTTAGGGGGCAGGATATCATAAAGAGTAGTGAGGATATGGTTACAGTAAAAACAGGTGCACACGGATCTTAGCCAAGAACACAGGAGGCGAATAATTGCGGAGGTAATATTTTTCGGAATGGAATTGGTCTAAAATGTAAACAAACATCTGTCAAACTGACATATCATAGATAATAAACATTTTTTTCTGGTTGGTTTTAATAAATCTGCTAAAGCAGGTTTTACTTTTGACATTGAGAGTTTATTTAACGAGTTTAATATTACCTACCCTTTCACATTTGCATATATTGCGATACTTAAAATATATTTTTGTAATGGAAACCAGAGAAGCCCAAGCGCCCGGCTTTTACCCAGAGCTTTGTTAACGCTGGATTTAAATAAGGCTAAATTACTAGGAAAACTATTTACAACTAAATATTTCTTGTAAATCGGGTTTTGTTCAAATTTAATGATTTTGTTACAAATCGATATATTATAAGTTAATTCTTTCATTAAAATCCATTAAAAAAAAATACCATTAACCAGCCGGTGAAACCATGTGTCCGGACAATTTTTTTTTACATTACTTGCTAATGTTTACCTGTGATTATCCTATGCGCAGTAAGTGAGAATCGTATTTGTTGATTGTTCCTTTTTAGTTTAAGAACAATTTTTACACCGAAATTTTAAATATTGTAACATACCAAATTAAATATTATTAACATAGTGGTTTCCGTTCACGGTTTTGGACGGAAATAAGGTATAATTGGGTGCTTTGAGTAAAAACCCGGATGGATAGAATTTTAATACCATGCCCATCTTTAATGGCAACACATTTGTTTACATTTTTGATCTCGAATTTTATCACCGAGTATAGGCGGAGACCGACGATCGGAGCTGGCTTCTCATTCCTTTTAAGTGGAATTATTGAAAAATAGATTATCATGCTGCGGTCTATCTCTGATTGGTCTACTAGATATGCACAAGGTATAATGTCTCATGCAATATTATTGCGAATGATATCTATTTTGTAACTTTATAGCCACGATCACGTGATAAAAGTAAATATTTACGTCAAATTATTTATTTGAATGAGGGTATATGCATTTGAAATACATTTTTGTATACAACACTTATTTATTAGAACTATACTAAAATAAAATATAGATATAAAATGACACAATATAATGTATCTTTAAAATAAAAAATGCTAGTTGATAATCTGCTGTATTTTTTTCGCCAATTGTGCAGCCGGTAGCTCGTATAAACGTGTTTATTAAAGTTTATCTTATCTTAATTAGTCCATTCCAATATAATTGTATCCAGAATGATTGATAACCACGATGTATAGATTGTGTAACAAAAAATATAGCAGATTGGTTTAACGAATCCTACGTTCTTACAATTTAACTTTGTTCAAAAACTTAGAGAAATAATATTTATTTAACACTTTTTACATTCCTTCGATTTGGCATACAAAATTTAGATTTGTTTCATAGGTTTGTTCAGGAAGTAGAGCAATGTCAAAAGTGATAAAACTAAACTTCTTTGTACACAAATAGAATGGACACTATAAGGTCGCCTTCAAATTAGACCGCTGCTGCAGTGGCGCGGCAGCCGCGCGTTTGTAGCGCATCAGCAATTTTTAGTTCAGTATTCTGACTGCAAAAATGTCGCGCGCGTGTCATGACAATGGCGCTCACGGAAGAAAAAACAATGGAAGTGCCTAAAGCCTCAATTACTATCAGAACCGCTGTCGCCAAAACTCCCACATTCATAATTTGGAACACTATGAAATCTTGATAATGACTGGTCGTAATTTCAAATTTAAAAACAAATTCTGGTCTGTTAATATACTTGAAACTTTACACTGTCGGCTCATTATTGCAAGTTACGACGTTTTGGTTTTGTATTGAAATTTCAATCAATGTGCTGCCATCTAGCGTTTAGTAGCTGAACGACGACGAATTCGATATGTTTATTTAGTTCTCCAAAAAAGAAGCGACCATATTGCAATGTCGCACGTTTCAGTTTGGCAGGGCGAATACGAAGCACCACCATAGATAATATTGCAAGTGTGACTATCATTTTTGCACTCTAAAGTAGCGAAATAAGGCATTTTTCTGCGATTTTCGAGGTTTTGAGCGAGATAAGAACCTTTGCACACGGCGTATTTATATACGCGCAGCAGACGCGCTGTTGTGAATCGATTCAAACGCGCGCAAACATCTCGTTGCAAGCAAGAAGCATATATAGAATGTCGTGTAGTTGCTTCATTTCAAAAATTAACTGAAATTAACAAACAAGCCTGATATTAAAACAGCTATCTTTTATCAAAATGCGCGGTACATCGCGCGTTTACAGCGCGTGTTTATATAAAAATATGCCGTGTGCATGTGCTCCAATTGACACGACCGTAACGAAAATGGCGAACTGACCTCAAATTTGTGGAACCCCGCGAACTGTTGGCATACGTGCCACGCAAACTAAGCACTTGTACTGTACTTATTGTTCTGTGGTGGCGCTACAACTGCGCTTCTAAATATTGTATGAAATTAGTGGCGCCACTGCTATAAGCGTAATTTATTCGTAATTTATTATTATTAATTTGAAGGCACCCTAAAAGTAAATGTTTCCTATTAAAAACTTTCAATATAACCTCGTATCGGTATATCAATCAAGTAAAGTAGGACTTCATTTATACATAGTTTATCTACAAACGTACAGAGTATGTATATAAATGGGTGATGCACTTTAGAATTAACTGTGTAGGTTTAGCGCAGTTTTGTGTAAGAAAATACATATTGCTGACTACGTAACATTAACTAGACATAATAGGTGAATTGATCTCTTGTAACACAATAAAGTGAAGTCAGAAAACGAATGAGAAGTGATTTTTATTTATCCCTGGAATTAAGAATGAGGCGTCAATATATCATAATACAATTTATTAGGCGTTTAAAACTTTAGAGCTATAAAAAGTTAGAAATAAATCTTAGCACGACAAAATTACAAAAAAAATAATTTAAAATCATCTTACGTATAAAATATTAATTCACTTAGATTGCGCAGTCATGACGACATCAGCCTGACAGGATTTTCGATCGTTCTTATAAGCAGCTTAGAGTTGAATTTTAACCTTGAATTTCAAGCTTGAAGTGCTCCTGAGCCTCTATTAATAATGTGTCAAACGATCACACCGATTACCTAGTCTCAAACTAGGGACTCCTTGTACTATGTGAGAATTATGAAATAAACTTCAGAGGTTTTAACCAGAGAACTGAGACCAGAAGCAATTTAGAAAAGATCGTTTGATAAATTGGTTCTGCCGGGAACCCAGAACCTCAACAAGCGCCCACGGTCCTAACCGACGGACCGTCGAGGTTGTCAAAATACTGATATGCAAAAGCAAGATTTAAAGTATTACTGATTTGGAGAACAAGTGCCAATACTGCCTATCTTTGTCTTCCAAAAGATAACAAATAAAACACACAAGCGGTCACAACCTGAAGCCCACCAGCAGTCAAAAAGCACGTCTTAAAAGTATAATTATATACTATGGACCAAATCATAATACTAATGGCCGCTATAGCGTTTGAAGTAGTCATAGTCGCCGTTGTGTTGAAATCGTTTAGAGTACTGATATAGAAAGGTTGTTGGAGGATGCTGGATGCGGCTGTTGCGAAGCTTGCTAACATGCAGAAGATAACTAACATGCTTTTGCTGGTAGATAGAAGAATACCTGAAAAGAAGGATGTCAAGTTACTAATGGAATCGAAAGGTAATTAATCAAAAAACGAACGACTAAAGTCCCGGCGACAAGATTACGGAATAAGGTAAGATAAGGTGTTTTCAAATTGATAATGAAAGAAACAAAATAAAGACGATTGCACGTAGTCATGTAGAAAACAATTTAGCGTTGCGGTTTCTACGTATTTTGGAACACAACTCCAAAAGATAAGCTTTTTTCGTCATTTAATTGAAAACTAATTGTAAATAAAATTAAAATTCGAGAGGAAAGAGAAATCTTAAAGGAAACAGGGTTAAATAATTTCCAGGCAACTCAAAATTTTTGAAATATGAATTTTAAGGGCCCATTTGTACATTACGGAATAGGCAAGGACTCACCGCTAAATCCAAAAGAACCGGTTATGCAAAAGGCCGCACAGAGCCTAGCCTTTCCGTTGAAAGATTTCGGCATCATTATGCAAAATGCTATGAAGCATAGGGCTCCTCCATGTGCAATTGCTGTCGCCAATGCAACCTTGAAACAAAAACGAATAATTTATAATTTGAAAAAAGAAATAGCAGAATTTGTATAGCTTTAATCTAAATAGCGACGAAATATATTACCAAGTGAAAAGCCTTAACGAAATATGGACTAAATAATAAAATTGTCACTTGTTTTTAGGCGATGTTAGATTTGATATCGAAAGAACAGACTTTAATTTAAGTTCCATCCTTTATCTTCAAGTCACATTGAAGAAGATAACATAATAGTACCTATCGTTAATCCACTCAACCTTATAAAGAACGTGATTTAGTTAACTACTTAGGCAATCGAGTTTTACACAAAACTTACCGCCCAAATGTTCATTGAAGGATTCAGTTCCCACATCAATGAAGGGAATCCCACTCCTAAAATTAATATCGAGAACGATGTACATAAATTTAAGAGAGCGTACATATAGAAGTTTATATCCTGGAGCATACTCCATACAGTTATCAAGTTTTTCTTTATACTGGCAGTTCTTCTTGCAGTACCAGGTGTCATATCATTTGTAAAGACTAAATTTTGCGGAGCATCGACTGTGGTTTCTCTATACAAAGGTTGAGGATTAGAATTTACCCTATCTATATTTTGCAGTTCCTGATATTTTATTCTATTGGAACAAACGACATCAAAAGTACCAAAATCAGAAGAAAATCGGTTACTAGTTGATGGATTATCTGCGAACATAGAGCTGAAATCTGTTGAAAACCTATTTTCGTTAACAATTGCAAGATTGTTTTCTCTTTGTTGAATAGAAGGATCGATGATTTCTTTTGCGTTGTTCCTCGAATTATAAACAACTATGTCAGCATCTTCATCTTGAGTAGCGTTCGGCATTTCATTGCTTTGCGACTGTTCGTTTGTTCTCTGCCCTTTTTCATTAACTCTATTCTGCTTTGAAAATATAACTTCATCGTCATCTTCGCCACCATCTCTTAACATGTTATACGTTGTTCTTATAATATTTACTATGTATACGGGCCGGGTGTAGGAAGCTAAGAAAAGACAGTTCTGCATTAGAATAGCTCCATAAATCATAATTACGATGTCACCCGTGTATTGAGTGCATAGGTATCCGACTATGATAGGTGTCAAGCAATTTCCTATCGACGGTGCCATTCTAATAAGTCGCTGAACCATAGTCAGCTTATCTCTGAAGTAGTGGGTTATTATCATTTCTGTTTGTTGCCCCGTTAATGCGCACCCAGTACCTGGAAAAATGATGTCATTCAATTTAGTTGTTTCTCTTTATGTGTCGAAATCTTTTTACTGTCAGAATCGTAATGATAATAAGAAATGATAAAGGTGTTTAATTTAAACCGTGGATGAATGAATGTGAAGCCGTGGTAGCCTAATAGTTTGACTTATCGCCTCAAGCAGAGGCCGTGGCTTCGAATCCGGGCTCGGGCCTTATCGGAATTTATGTGCGAAATTTAATTGGGAGGTGAAGGAATACATCGTGATGAAACCTGCGCGTCGAATAAGCAGTTTGATTTTGATAACCTCTCCCTATTGGAAACTGTGGCTCTTCTGAGTCGCGGCGCATAATTATAATTCACAACTGGCCAATCGGAAACTTTTGACATTTCAAATCAGAACAATAGTTAATTTAAGTCACAACTTAGAAAAATATAAAAGGAATCAGGCTTATCTTCTCGCTCGGAAACTCGTCTGAATCAAAATGAGCATGAAGGTCAACCCTCGGAAAATGTGGGAAGTCTCCAAATCCCTGAGCGTGGCGGACTATGGCCTAAAACCCTCGCCTGAGACCCGTGCCCAGCAGTGGGACGGGTAAATGGGTTGATGTTGTATAATGTAAACAGTAAGAAATACGTGAGTAATATCAATTCAAATAAGTTACTAAAACGTAAAGGATCTTGGGGTGTTCCCCAAGGTAAGTTACTGTACGACCAGTACTACCACTGTTTATGAATTGTACACAAGTCACATCTGGTTTTGTTTGCGTGGATGTTTACTTAGCTGTGATGATATATGTCTATATTTACACAGAGTGACCTCTACAGTTTAAACTGTGACTAAACAATGCAGGTTTAATGCGAAATAGGTGAGTACGTAAATACTTATCATAAATTTTATCTATAGTTCTTGCTACTAACATAAACTTATCAGAATATTTTATAGAACTGACTAGCAATTTTGTGACATCTAAATGCAAGTAGGAAATAAAGCTAACATATTTTACCGGCTATGAAAACAAGATCGAAAATTACAAAGATGACTTAATATTCATATCTACGTGACTTCTCACAATTTGAATGATGCTATTTTTGTAACGTCCGTAACCAATTGACGTTTATTACCATGAATCTTGGTTATTGTTTAGTTGGTTAGAAATGCAGAACTCTTAAATTACGCTAAACATTCCTATTTAAATTACAAAGTCCCAAGATAACAGCTGTCAAGTTATTTTTATTGGCTATGATAGCGTTCTAGACTTACATCAATATACGTCGAAGAAATGATTGCCTAATACTTCAAAACTACGCGTCATGATATAGGTACAAATCGAGCTTGTCATTTATTCTATTGTATATGTTAAACATAATAAAGGTGTTTTATTGTTATTCGAATAAATGAATAAGAAACTTATTTTATCAATTGGACTTCTTTTAAAGTTTATTGATTTACCTACCCACATAACAAAGAAACATAATTTATCGGAGTTTATATAGACGTCTTTGTATTGGTAACCTGTTAAGGCTCAAAAAAAAAATTGTAAAACTTATTGAAATACCCAACGACGAACCCGTATTGGGCTTTAATAGGCTCTCCCCAAAGGAAACTCATCGCAGCACTCGGCGTAACAACGGCGCAGTGGGCTGAATTACAAACAAGTTTAATTCTTATTGTGTTTGACTAAAATATTTACCTAGGAACATCCCAGAGAATACACTAATAATGTGGTCATTGGATCGAGTATCAATTGTGTAACTAGAGAGCAGAACGCCCGCAACTGTCAAACAAAGACCAGCTAGCGCCATGAATCTTGGCATATTGAACACCTTTACCATCGCCCTGCACCATGACTCCAATAAAAGCCTCATCACCACCATAATCACTGGCACTAAAGCGACATCGACGTCCCATATTTGCAACGGTTCGTTTTCGTCGTGGTCCAATTCCTTTATCGCCTTTAGTATTATCAGGCCGTATAAAGAAAGCACTGTAGGCACTGTTATATGGTATATTATTGCTGATACAACTATCAGCCATCCATAGCCTCCGTCTGGTGGCGTAGGTCCAATCTCAGGTTGTGAAGACACTACACGATCCAAATGTAAATCTTCCACGTGACTTTGTCCTTGTTCAATACGATGTACATCTCGACGTTGGATATCCTCCATGTTTTTATTTTTTTACTTTTTTAACCGAGAAACAATAGATTCATGACTAACATAATTGAGTAAATGAAAAGTTATCGTACGCTGCTATCTTATCGTTATCATTCTCGTAATCTTCATGTACTAAATATTTTGAAACCACCGCCAGTCTTTATTGCCAGTTTAGTCCAAGTGTAGCCCTATTAAAAAAAGGAAGTGCTTCATGATGGGCTGACCTTTTCACCCAACGAAATCATCTACTTCTATGTAAAAGAATTTGATGATAGAATTTTTTTATTACTTCCTAGTAGTTATAAGTAAGCATATTTAGTATTACTTACCTTATTTAATCCCATGTTAAATACTAATGTCGAAATAAATTTATAATCCGTATTAATTATCTGCATAGCCATTAAATTCAATTAATAACAATGATCTTAAATATGTAGAAATTAATAACATTTAGTTAAACATATAAATTTTAACTCCTTTGAAGACTACTTTTATCACGTTATAAATTGGTTAAAGATCAATGCGTTATATTATAAGATCTAACAACGAAGTTTATAAACGAATATACTATTATACCGTTGGATTTAAGAGACCTATGCGGATCACGTGCGAAAGAGATGCAACCTAGTAATCTGTTAAGTGTGACAGAGATATTTACACTTAAGTTTTTATGACATAAATATTGAAATTTGCCGTTTAATACAAAATGAATTCACCGCATCGACGTCGATGATCGACACTCTAAATATCAAATTCGTTAAATTATCAATAATGCAAGGTTTATTTGTGTTTTCTATAAATAGAAGAGTTGAATCGTGATATTTCTCATTTATGTTTAGTCAAGATTAGCGCAATTTCAGTTTGGAATAATGTGTGCACTGTGTTCAACTTCCGTGAAGCCCCAAGCATTTTAATTGGCCCCTGAGAGTTGATTATGAACTCTCTCCTGACGACTCAATTTCGTTCCCGATCTATATGATCTCATGGATGAGCCCGGGGGGCTCGTAAGGCTGGGTTTTAACGATGGAGACGGAGTCCGTGCGGTCTGAGTTAAGTAGTCGATCGAGAAGGAGTTCGAGACATCGCCAACATACACATCGTAGCACCCGGTACGTACGGTCTGAGTTAATTATATTGCTTGAGTTTTGTTTATGGACAACAATGAACACGAGAACAACGCCTTGAGTTAATTAGATTGCTTATTTCGCGTACAGTCTTGTTATAAGTGTGCCTAATTGATAATGTCTTTATTTGTTGTATCTTTCCATCTTTTTTTGCCGTCAGGTCCTACTGTTACAAAACTGCTAAAATGTATTTGATATAGTGTTATTTGCATTTCCTTTCATATAGTATAAATAAATAATCCATGGATCAATACAATTTCAAATTTCAGGAGTTCAAAATCGCATAAAAAGGACGACATAATGGCCCCTTTCCAAACAAGTGTAAACATAAACCCTGAAATGGGCAGAGATGGACAAGAAGTTATAGAAGTTCAGATACTACCCCAGGACGAAAACTGGGGTGAAAACACTACTGCGATCACTGGAAATACTTCTGAAGGCTCACAGTCAATGGAGGATATAAATAACTGGCCATTAGAATCAGATGGGGGAATAGGCTTTGTCTGTTCTAGATACTTTGGTGCTACAATTGCTTTAGGACTTTCGTTCGTGTCATTTGTAAGCCCGTTAGCAATGGTCGTGTTGCCTAAAATTGGATTTTTTCCTGGATTGACAGACAATATTGCTTTACAGCCCAGTCAGAGAATACAGTTACTATCTTGTGCTGCAGAATGTAAAGGAATTTTGCTATCATTAGCCTTCAAACTAGTGTTACTTGCTATTGGAGTGTGGGCGGTGTTTTTCCGACCACGTAATGCAATTCTACCCAGAATATTTGTGTTTAGAGCAATGACGTTAGTCATTCTTGCTGTATGCATCTTTTCATACTGGTTATTTTACATTGTACAAATCACAGAAGCGACAAAAGCCTTAGCTCTTGGCGAAGAAGCAATTGATTACAACAATTTAGTTTCATACGTATCAAGTTTTGCCGATACATTGCTCTTTATTCATTATATTGCTGTTATATTGATGGAAATTCGGCATTTGGAACCAGTGTATTATATTAAGATTGTGAGGAGTCCAGATGGTGAAAGCCGATCTTTTGCAATTGGTCAATTAAGTATTCAAAGAGCAGCTGTATGGGTGCTACAGAAGTATTACACGGAGTTCCCAATTTATAACCCATATTTGGAGAAGATATCGATATCGAAGTCTCAGAGGAAAGGACAGTCGAGTATTAAGTTTTATGAAGTTGATGGATCTAATGCTAATACTCCAGGACAAGCAAGGTAAGATTTGAACGTTATAAATATGTGAAGTTCAAGCTTCACAGGTAGAGAACATTTCTAAGGAAACACTTTAACCAGCTTAAGAGAGTATTTTTAAGGAGATACTTTAATATTCTGTATTTAATTTACGAATTATGTGATGATAATGAATTGAGTTTGATTCCTTCTTCAAGTCATTTTATCCCCTGTGTTACATTCTTATGGTCTATATTGACTTACTTAGAGTTAATCTTCCTACTTTTTTATAACATACTTATTAATAAATTTTGAATTGCTAACCAATGCTTTGCATAACATTATTGGTATGTAGTCCAGCCACAAGACGAAGTTGTTAATAACAACATGGTTCACATAAAACTGAACTATTGTGACTTTGCATTGACCAGGTCTACAACAGGCTCGTGCACGGGCAGCGCCGGCCGCCGCCGCGACTCCGGCTCGACGCACAACGAGCGCTACTACGAAGAGGCGGAGCGCGAGCGGCGCGTGCGCAAGCGGCGCGCCCGGCTGCTCACCGCCGCCGAGGACGCCTTCGCGCACGTCAGGAGGGTGAGGGTGTCCAGTGCTAACGGTGAGTGACCTACTATGTAGTCTACTAATGTTATGAGGATCACTGCCACCACTAATCTATTGTGATCACCACTAATTAGAACTTGGCGCCAATATCTGAAGGATTTTACTAGCTTTGTTTTAACTACCTCCGTGGCCGAACGGTTACCATACCGGACTGCCACGCAGAGGTCACCGGGTTCGATTCCCGGGCCGAGAGAAATATTTGTATGGCCTACATTTATTTCTCTCGTGAGTTTGGGTGTAATTTGTGGTTGTTTATGTGTGTGTCCATGGCACCCGCGACACAGGATTTCCCTAGTGCGGGGCTATGTTGAGTGTGTGCGTTATTATTATTAATTTTCACTGGTTCAATCGCTATTAAAATCCTCAATTTTAATTTGTCAACAAATTCACGTCAATTATTCCGGACTATTATATAGTCAGCGGCGGTATTTGCTATCAAAAATATAAGCAAAACTGCCATTAAAAAAAATACCTTAAGAATTGTACAAATGACATAAATCCTTCCAGAGTCTCACCTATAGTGTTTATTTTTTACCATTAAGTTGATTTAACCCTTAAGTAATTGTTGCCTTTTGTCGTTGCTACTAAAGAGCAAGCTGTTTCAGACACAAAAAAACATATATTCTAAATTTTTATTTAATTGATATTAAATTATTTTTTATGTGATATTACTCACTAGTTTGTACAAAGATCGAACACTCAGAAAAAATTCCTTCGTCGTGTCTTTGTATTTGGTTTTTTCAACAACTTTTTAGCCGTCTCGTAGATGGCACCACAGCAACAAACATGTAGAAAAATTCGTGAGGTCCGCCGGTTCGTTCCGTGGCTTAGTTGGTATAGCGTCTGCCACGGTATGCAAGAAGACGTCGGTTCGAATCGGGCCGGATCGAAGGAATTTTTCGATCTTCGTATTAACAATTATAACAAACATATCTTCTGTTCTCTATGGTTTTTGGTAACATAATGTGCAAAGTCTACGGTTACAGTTCGCTAGTGAGCACCCGGTTTTAGAGTGTTTAATAGTACATTGTGTATTATATAAGGAAATGCGGCGGTAAATAAGGAAATACTAACGAGACTAGAAGCCCGAAGTTGAGGACTGAGGGTTTTCGGAGTCGAGGTTCGTAATTCCCGTACCGCCCGTGTTACATACAATGTTTTTCATCGCATTTGCGAGGCGATAAATACAAAAGATAAGGAAAGCAACCAACGATGTCTATTTAAACACAATTACGGATTTCGCAGATGGCGGGTTTTTGGTTTTTTTTTATAAGCAGATGGCCAACTATTCTTCCTAGATAACACTGATAATACAACTGGAACTAAAATGTTGTAAAAGGCAAAAACGCATGCAGCCAAGACGTTCAAAATACTAAAAATACCGCAGAATTTGGATTTATAAAATTAATTTATTATTATATATCGAGTTCTTAGATTTCCGCGATTGTTACACATAGCCCTTTACAGGTCCCATGGTCACGGTTCACTGAGGTGGTAGTCTTCAACCGGTTATGTCAGTCAACTGTGACCATGGGACCTGTAAAGGACCCGAAACGTCGGTTTGTTTGAAAAAACAAACATACGCGATTTAAATCCGGAAAAATAGCTTTATTTCCTTATTATTATATAGTTCAATAGCAAATGCGAAAGATTTTTCGAGCTTTATAAACTTTTTGCTTAATCGTAACGTTGAGAAGTATAGTGCAATTAAATAAAAAAATATGTCCATTATTGCCGTCGGTATTGTAATTAAAAAGCCCGTGGGCGTATTTTAGGACATTATAGTCGACTTTGCCTGCATATTATGACACTGTTTCCGAGCAATTATGATGAAATTGTATATAATAAATTTTATATGTAGTAATGAAAAAAAACTCTACTTTTAGGTGGAGCCCTCGGCCCACGCGAAGCAGCGCAAGCAGTGTTTCCATCACTGGCTCGAGCATTGCAGAAGTATTTGCGAGCGACTCGACAGCAGCCCAGACATTCTGCTGATTCTGTAAGGACTTATTATTAACTTCTCCTTATTAGTTCGTGGCAACAATTTTCGTCACAAAAGTTGTTAACAGTCACTGTATCTACTAGCTACGAGTCGTATTTGAAGAAAGTGTTCTCGCATGGAGGAACGAATGATCTCTTGAAATCGCTGAATATATAGGGTGGAAAAAAATCAATGGGAAATGAAAGGGAACCCTAAAACTTTGTTTTGTCTTAGTATGAATAATTCGAGCCTCGATTCAAACCAATTAAAAACACACAAAGTAAGTACTCACTATTTTATCAATGATAAGGGTAAAAGTCCTCCTATGAATATTAGAACTTACAATTTTAAATAATAATAAATAAATTAAAAAAGAAACATTTATTGCAAACAATTTACAGTCCATTTTGTAAGTGCGCTTATAAACTATATATTCTACTGTTAGTACAAAAGTTACAGAAAAAAAAAATGACTGCATGGTACCTGCTAAAATGACTATGATACCTTAATACCCTTAGCAAGCAGACACCTATCCCCTATTATTTTAATATTAAAGACGAAATAAAAATTTATTTCTTTATTATAATATAGAACACATAATCGGGGCGCAGTACAAATTAAGATCAAATTATAACGATGGTTGTTCTATAGTCATTTAGAAAAAATTTAAACTAATTAAGCTAAGATTATGAATACAGAGACCGAACATACAGAAAACTTTCGTCGACCCGGTGGGACTTAAACCCACGTCCATGCTGCACCGTAGCATTGCTCTTACCAATAGAGCTACGGGTCCAGTTACGGAGGCGTCAAAATCCTCCTATGTGTTATTGTTGTAAACCTTTGTACTGGCTTTCGGCATTCGTATCTGCTAGTGACATCTAGTGAGGGATTTTTGAATAACCTTCTCACCGCAGCCGATACCTTTACAGGTATTATAACAAAAAGAGTGGATGTTTCACAAAAAAATCAATAAATACATCTAATTATTATAATTATTAATTAACCCATTATGTCCCACTGCTGGGCAAAGGTCTCCCCCAAAATCCTCCATTGCTCCCTGTCTTTGGCGATCTCCTACCACTCTCTCTCAAACCCATCAAGGTCGTCTCGCCAAAAAAATTTGTATTATGGGAGATAATGGTTCTACACTCGGTAGATAAGTTAAAATTCGTTAACTCATTGGAACTTAATATTAACCATAGGTAATAAATCGTACCATAGATATGGATTGATTTTTTCATTATTTATTTACACATAAAATATCATAGAATACATGTTTTAATGCAATGTAATATAAACTATGTCGTTATCCCGTACATTGCTAAATTCTTCGGCGTAAGGCGATTAACACACTGCACCGCGCCCCGCGGCGGAGTGCGGAGCTGCGTTTTTTAACGTTGTACTGAAGTACCTCAGTTTGTATGGAAAACACGCACTGTCGAACACACTGCCAAAGCAGGGTATGGCACGTCCTGTATAGTGGCGAACTAGGGGATATTTCACTAAAACTTGGCAAATAGGTGTAATTCCACGTACTTTTTGGGGTCGATTTTTTTAGTACTCTGTACTGAGATTATTTTTGTTTCTATTTCAGGTACTCGCCCATCTCGCTCGCTGTCTTTCCCAGGACGCGTCTCCTCGCGCCTTCCTTGAGCCGTTCTTCGTCGAAGGGCCAGTGTTATCTGCTGAGCAAGAGACTAGACCCTTACAAAGATGGTCACTAGTGTCAGATGAATTGCTGGCAAGACCGCTTGCAGACGGTATAGAGTTCCAACTGCGACAAGGTGACATATCACTAATTTGCTCCATAAAGCAACTGCCCAAGTTCAGTCTGACTGAAGAAGTGGTAGACCCAAAGAGCAACAGGTTTGTTCTTCGCTTGAACTCCGAGACGTCCGTTTGACAGGACGACTTCTTGACTAAGGAAGGTCATAGGTTGGTATGACATTGGGACTTTATTTAAAACTTGTCAGACACTTGGTTTTTTTTAAGGTGGACTGATAATAGTGATCGGTGCTTATTTACCTAAACATCACTTTTTATCTCCAGGAAATAGTATATGGATATGCCTTTTTGAATAAAAATATATAAATAAATTTAGTCAATCCCAGATTCTCTGCTTGAGTAATTAATATTATTTACTAAATAACAGCAAATTAACTACAAAATTTTAATAATTGTTTTACTAAATACAGATTAAAATGTACATAGAATGTACCTAGATTGCCAAAGCGTGTGAAGTGATTTGAAAATAACGGGGAGGATCAGTTAAGGGATGATCAGGGGACTGAGGTAGCAGACGTTATCACTTGTATAAATACTTTAACGTAGAACTCAAGCCATGATAATAACGCAATGTTTACTGAGTCTAACAGTTTAAGTCTTAAAAGTGAGTTTATATACATTATATATTCAATGAAAAAATATTATTATACAACTGCCACTGTGGCCGAATGGTTACCACACTGGACTGCCACGCGAGGCCGGGAGATATGTTTGTGTGGCCTTCATTTATTTCCCTCGTGAGTTTGGGTGTAACTTGTGCTTGTATATCGACCCTTCCTACGTAAAGTATCGTATGTCGAAATTGCCAAGTTTACAGGGGAGCGTTTTAAACTTCTGAATTCACTAAATAAGCATAATGCGTGACTGTGGCATTTCTCAGTTTTATTCGGCAAAGCTCGTTACTCACATAGAGTATTATAAAATTCTAGATATCGGTTAGATGATCTATTAGATGATCACTCTATGTAAGTAACGAGTGAATTCAGAACTCTCGAATACTCCCCTGTAAACTTGGCAATTTCGACATACGATACTTTACGTCGGAGGGGTCGATATGTGTGAGTCCTTGCCACCCGCGATACAGGGTCGCCCTAATGTATATAAATTATTGTGTGAAGTGATATGAAATTGTTTGCATAAATGTTATTTTGCAATAACAGGATTAAAGTTATAGAAATACATATATTTATGCAGAAAGGCATGTCCATATTATTTCTTCGTGAGCGTTAAAAACCAGGAAGTTAAGGTAAATTAGTGCTCGAATATCCGATCGCTGGTAATAACCGACGCTAGTGGCCTCAAAAGGAGGGTAGTGTTTTGATCACTAACTTGTTAACCTTTAGGTTCTATACCTTGGTTACTATACCTTGGCATAAACTTTTAACCAGCCCTGTTAAGACGCACAAAAGTGACAAGTTTTATAGATCTGTACAACAAAATCATTAGTTTAAATTAGATTATAAGAATTGCGGTTAGCTAAATTTAGACATCATTAATATATATTATATTCTAAATTACTTTCAATTGGTGCAATACGGTACTTAAAATTTAATTTTGAAGAATCTCAAGCTTAAAGCAAACTCGATTTATGACGCCATTTTCGAAGACTACAAAATGCATTTACTTTTTTTGCGGTGGCAACTATTATTTTTAATTTAAGTAATTGTACATTTGTGTCATATTTATTTCCATTTATAAGTTATAAGTGAATTTTATATCTTTAAGGTATTGACACGGAAAAACAGTTAACGCCAGAACGTTACAATTTATATTTAACCTGTCGATTTTTTAGATTAAGTCACACAAACTTTAGTATGTAAGTAACGTTAACCTATCACAAACTCGAAAACTTTTTTGTCCGAAATAACTTTGTTTGTTCGAATTTTCATTACACCGAAAACCGAATTATAACGAAACACAAAAACCGAATTATAACAAAAGACACGATTAGGTTCGGTTAGGTTAGGTTAAATTAGTTTTAAAAGAAAAAAAAAACTTTTTTCTCTCAAAATTACTTTCGAGGTTATCAAAATTAGACCAAAGGTTATTCCTGGAAAATGTCATTTCGGACTTTGGGTAGGTAACCGTAAGTAACCTTTTTATGCACAAATATTGTAAGGTTAATAAGTATATGAAACCAACGACACAAAATATAATATTGCTGGGAATGCGGTGGTCTTATTGAGTACGAATAAGGGTTTGTCGTATTCCCTTGCAGTAATAAAATAATCTCAGAAACAGTACTAAAAAGAACCGACTTCAAAAGTTCATGAAATTACATCTATTTGCCAATTTTTATTGAAATTGGTTACTGGAAAGTTCACGAAACCGGATTCATCCTCTAGTTTGCCATCCTTAGAGTTGGAATATTTCCTTCAAATTTAAATAGGACCACTACTGAGGTGGGTACCTCAGTAGTGGTCCCATTTAAATCTTAAATCTTTGAAGTCTTTCCAACAAAAAAGGTACATCAAAATAGATTCACAAATGCCGCAGTTATCGCGTAACATACATAGAAACATCGAATTGAGAACATCTTCCTGCTTTTTTTAAGTCGGTTAAAAATAAACAAGGAAATAACATCCATATACATTACAAATAGCTAGCACCATTCATAGTGTATATTACAAATTTTTGAAATGGGTTTTTCGACTTTTAAATCACCTTATGTATATAATAAACATTTCGGATTTTGTACATCACAATTTAATATGTCGCAGAATGTAACTATATTACAAAGAGTTAGGTAATTAACTAAATGTAAACAAACCGTAATGAAGTATTTTATAAGGCATTACCTGGTTAATTATTGTAAAATTACAATGAACTTTTTGAAAATCGTTCTAAATATTTAAATATAATATTTAAATAAAGCTATTTAATAACACGTATGCATCTTTCCTACGATAAACAACCTAAAATCCAGCCTTTAATAAAGATGACAGCTAATAACATGAGACTAATTTAAAGAGTACATCAGTAATACAACATATGAAACTGACTACTAAATATTATATTTGACCGGTTAACCAGGTAACAGCTGAAGTTTGTTTACTTTTAGATAGTTACCTAAACCTTTATACTACAGTGTGACAACACCCTTAGACTAAAACTAAATTAAAATTTTTATAAACATTTTACAATACGAATATGTAGTCTAAATACCATATCATAGGATAGATAACATAAATATTTATTCGCTAGTGCTAAGCGGTTTTATACATTATGTTGAGCATAATAAGACTGCTTTTTATACAATTTTGAATGATAAATGGTTGTGTTTAGGACAATTTTCACTTTAATGTGAGCATTACTTATTGGAATTCAACCAAAGATCGCTTGACAATTAAGAATTGCAATTTGGTTCACTATAGGGAGTGGTCAGCTGATATAAAAAATATCAAAATTATCGTCAGATCTCTCTCTATGGCAAAAAGTTCTGACCCGGAAATAAAACCAATAAAATACGAAGCGCTTTGCTTCCATACTAAGAAATGGAATACTTACCAGCATTCCGTGTTTCCCGAAATCTTGTAAATTTAAGTAAGTTCACAGAACTGTAATGACTGTGTTATAATATTATTTATACATTCTTACAGCACGCTGTGTCAATCATTAGTACTAAATAAAAAAGCAAAATTAATGTGCTTTATTTCAAAATTTTCTGCTACTTCTACATACTAATTATAGTATATCTCAAAAATTAAGAGACGGAATATCATATGTGAACAAACGAACTTAGTGAAGTTAGAAAAGAGACAAAATAGCGGACTAGAGTTGGGGGTAAAAATCGTTTAAAAATTAAAAACTGTGCTAATGTTACCTAGTAACCAGGTGGTACAATTCAAGGTTAGAGTGAATTGGATTTTTCCACAAATACGTACCATCCTCGGTCATACCATCACTTAATATTAAGTGAAAATGTAACTAAGCGTGTGTGTTAACGCCTCGCATATGTGTGCGTATCGCGCATCGCGCGTACGCGGCACACACGCTTACAGTCGCAGATAAAAACCCGCAGCGGCGCCCTCCGCCGCTTACTCACTCTCAACCATCGCGCGCTACGAAAGCATTTGTTAACTATTATAAGTAAGAAAATTAAAGTTATTATAAAGTCAAAGTACGAGTTCATCTTTAGTTCCATCCATCGATATTTAATAAGAAAAATACATCATCAGTACCTAAGTTCGCACAGTGTGTATATTTTTATATTAATCAAATCACCTATCACTGCAGCAAATTCTTAACCATCTTTTATTGTTCTTCGTTTATCGCTCGTAAACATGCGCTCGACTCAAAGTTACGTTAGTTCTTAAGGCGAGATACTTCAACTACCCGCTACCCGCGCGCAGTCGATTAATATGAATAACAACAAGCGGAGAAAATTCGACACAGATCCGTCGTCGACTAGCGCCCGATGGCGACTGACGGGGCAACGGCCGGCGCTGCGTCTCGTTAAAACGCTGGGCAATTTTCAAATTTTGGGACAAATGTGGATTTAATAACTATACAGCTTCAGTTGAAAACCAAAATTTGGCAGGTTCTTTGTAGTATTTAAAGAGAAATATCTCCATATAAAAATTATGTGCAAAGTTAGGTATTTTATTCTTAAATAATTCTTTTTGGACATTTATTTTAGTCTGTTTTCAGGATTTTATATGATCGAGTAAAGTACAGTCTATCGTGTAATACATTAGCACATTCTTCAATATCCTTGGGTTATATTTGCAAGACCGTTATTTAATAGTAAATACCTAAACCATTTTTAAAACCATCTAACAAAAGAATCTTTCCCGCTTCGCCTTCTGACTCGCTTGAAGTGTCGATAATGTCTAATATGTACGTTACAGACTTGACATAATTCATTATGCTATGTAATTTCGTTTAAAAAATTCGCAAGTCGTAGGCACATGCTTGAGAATCGAAAAGCTACCAATCACACTGTTATGTACAAGTTATGTACCATTTCTTACGCAAGTTTGACCAAGTAACGACTACTACCGACCAAATAACTTTGAAGTCTCTTTTCATTCACTCATGAGTGATGACCGAATGAATGATAATTAATGAATTTCTGGGTCGATATAAATGTGTTAAATAAGTAAAGTAAATGCTCAAATGCAGCCTTTTGTAAATGCTTGTGCCTGTCTAGAAATTAAGGAATTGTCGTTTGATAAAATGTGACGTTTTGATAAAATATTTTTAGTATAAGATGAAGTATATTGAGGAGTAAGCTTCAGTTAACTTCACCAGAGTTTACGGCATTCCTAACTGTGACATTATAAAGGTCTGATATTGTCTAGAACTATATTAATTTTTAATATTATAAATCTATCATTCTTCTGGCTAACTTAGACGACTTTTTTGTATACCGAGCTGAATTCATCAGGTATTTGGAAATTTGTCGTTTGTGTTGGGCTTAATAAAAACGATCAACAGTTTGAAAATAATTTAAAAGCCGGTTGTCAACGACATTTTGAATCCCGAATTTGTTAACTATTCAAGTTTCAAAATTAGATGCTCCCATTTACAATGACGTCATTATTGTAATTGCGAATACTCGAGTACCTTGAACAATACTCAGTGGCGTCTCATAGCTCAAATACAGCTCGTAACGTAAGCACAATGTTGAGATTATTTGTAAAACCATTTATATGTACACTTTTGTATTTTTGCAAATATATCAACAAAATGAAAAAACAATTTTGTATTTTTATTTTTTCAGTGGCCTATTCACTTGTCATGTATGTGTATTTGCAGAAGATAAGTCGATGTATTAACGAAACTTTCCGAATCGTCTTTTTTTATGATATTCAGAGACAAGACCAAGAAGTCGTACGCTTGGTCGTCAGCGACACGAGTTTTAGTGCCCCTCGGCGCTGTAAAACGCTCCATCAGGCACTGCGCCCGTGATCCTGAGACATTAAGTTGACAAGTCCCATATGCTTTTTAAAAATTATTTCACGCCTGTCCATAACAGTTGTCGGTGCCATTCAGAATTTTGAATCGCAAAGATCTGAGGCGCCTGTCACTTTGAGGCATATGTTGACAAGTCCCGTGTGCATTTTCACCAGCAACCTCCCTTCAAAAGCGGAACGCAGTAACGCTCACTTTACTGTTTGACGGGAGAAATGGGTGGCAGTATTTCCGTGGAAGAACTTTCTCACTGGGAGTTCTCTGCTACTAAAGGTTCAATGCCTAGTACTAAGTTGAAGAATAAATTTATTTGGCATCTGTTTAGATGGGAATAGTGCTTTATGGACCACCCCTACCATTGAATGCACACATAAAACAAAAGCAGAGAATAAAAAAATAACCTGAAAGCTAATTAATAGGGGTTTCATTGTGAAATTGCCCTTCTATACAGGTATGGAATGGTGTTGTTCTTTATTAATATTATTCCCCTGTTAACCCCGTTAAGAATCAAATCACCTACAAAGGGATTGCGGATAAGCAAGTTAACTTACTTCGAATTTCATAATATGCATTTTAGTTTTCCGCAAAGTAACGTTAGAATCATTAAAAAATATATTGATTTCGTTGACTGTCATGATGTTTTAATTACTACCATGGTATTAATTTCTTTTTTGCAAAATTACTCTGTTATTAATACATAGATCAAACACAAAGTAAAATTCCTCCGACCATTTCATTATTTATTTAACAAAACATAGTAATATGATAAGAAGAAAATAAAAACATAGTAAGTATAATAAATTAAATGTTTCTTTATTGAGTAAATATATCACATACAATATCTAATATACTTATATAATATAGTCTAATTTGACTTCGCATTTAGCATTTTTTAATGATATCAAGTGATGGGAAGAACAAGTCGTGCGCCTGATGGTAAACGACACGCCTGTCCATAACAATCGCAGTGCCACTCAGAGATTTAAATCGCAAAGAGCTGAGGGGCACTGCCACTGCGCCCGTCACCCTGAGACATAAGTTTACAAGTCCCATGTGTCTGTAATTTCACCAGCACCCTTGTCCTTCAAAACCGGAACACTTGGCGGCAGAAAAAAAGCCTCTCCAGTTCCCAATAATCTAAGCGGCTGGAGGAACCGGAGGACATTTGCTTCAGGCTGTCAACTAGACCGCTACCACAAACTACTAATACCGCTACTAAGGCGTGCTAGCTGCTCACGAGACAGTTGCCGCGGCAGTGTTGCCAGATTAGGCGATTTTTGCCATTTTGGCTATTTGGAGGGGTCGCGAGGCGACTAAAAAAGTGATCGGCGATTCGGGGATATTTAGGCTATGTTTGAAATAGGAAAAGGCGATTTTAGGCTATTTAATAAAATGACGGGGGAATTACAAACTTGATTGGGGATTTTGTGGGGAATGGAATTGCAAAACAACTCATTTGGTGGTTTAAGTATTTCTACGTTTGGGGAATTATGAGACTTCATCTTTCCTAATTTCCGGCAGCAAGCAGAATTGTTTTTCTTGATTTTTAGGGATTTTATGGCTTGGGCGAATATCGACTACTTAACACATAAATTGGCGAATTATCTTTGCAAAAGCCTGGCAACACTGCGCCCCGGCCACATGCAACCGGGGCAGACAAACATACCCTTCCGGGTCCACTAGAGACGCCTGTGGAGGCGTATCACATCGTTGGCGTCGAGCCCGTAGTCTTTTAGGAAAACCCTATCTCTCGGGTCGGTAGATAGGGACAAAACTTAACAAATAACACTTAAATTGAAAATATAACAGTCAATAAATACACAGTCAAGGGCTCAAATAATATGACAAACGAGCATATTTGTATGGGCGAGCTTGGGAAACGGACGAGACTGGGCGGTCTCGGGCCGAAGCGCGTGGCGGTGTGTATTCGGATTTGTATCGAGAGCATAAGCCGCGCGCGCCCTCGCACCTTAGAAGTTACCGGACACAGGCGTTTCCAAGAAACGCGTGGCGCGGGCCGCCTTTACATAAAACAGCTTTACTAGCTACTCACTGTTTGGAAGCGGGTGAGTCAGTTAGTGCGATAATTATGGTGACTGAATGACAGACAAAACTTTCACACGCTCTTAATTAGCGAGTTAACCACGTGTTATGATTACGTTAACTGGGAACCAACAAAATACACGACTAGTCTACTAGCTGACAAGCTAAACAGTAAAGTAGCGCTAGAGTGGTCACACACGGCGACATTTGTGAAACGCGATGGCGTCGATACAAACGCGCGATTGCTTCGATACAATCGCCTATAAATCCCGAGTGTATCGCGCTTTTGTTTTGAACAATTATTTCTTATTTATTAATTACTATCGTTTGTTTTCAAGAATAGTGGCCCAAACTTAAAGCGTTATTTTCGTACTTCTAACATATTATGTTCAAAATGAACTTAATTTCATTGTAAATAAGACAACGAGCTTTCTATTGCTTATGAACTTAATGTTCGAATAGTCGCAGCGATCAAATGTACTGCCGGACACATAATACGAGTCACCTCGCATTTTTGTCTTAAAGGTCTAGAATACAAAAGCAGTGTTGTTAGAAAAAGTTTTTCACAAGGATTTATGGCAAAGACGTTTAGTATACTACTTTCGGCCGGATTCGAACCGACGTCTTCTAGCGAACCGTGGCACGAACGCTATGCCAACTAAGCCACGGACCGAACCAGTGGACATCACAAAATTTTCTTTGTGCCTGTAGTCGGGCCTTTGTATTTCGTTTTTAACGACTTTTTAGCCGTAGCGCCATCTATGAGAAATCTATGGAAGTGTTTCGTCACCTTATTTGTCAATGAGTTTCATCCAAGTATTTGTAAATCAAATCATTTCCGCTTTTCGTCACTCCTTTAACATATTCAATGTGATTTTTAGTATTCTAAACATTGACTTACAATTATATGGACGTCGGGTCCGCGCTAAAAAGTGTCCGCACTTGCAAGGCGCTAAAATCGTATACAGAGCGCCAAACTCCGCTTTAGTCTTCATTTGTTCGACTGACAGCGCGATACTGCGATGACTTTACAATTTAAATTTAGAATAGGTTGACTAGGGACATTTTTTTCGTGGTTTTTGTATTAGACCCGTCGTCCATTTATTTGTAAGTCAATGATTCTAAAGCATTGTTTCTAAAAACGTATAAATTTCGAGTTATTCAAAGATGTATTTTAAATTCGTCACAAGTTACGACGCCATTCTAGCATCCCGGTATTTAAAATGTTTAATGAAGCCGAATTTATTTACAGGAAAACTGAACCTTAGGTTTATAAACATTCGAATTTTGCAGATTCAATAAGAATGAGATGTATTTGAGATGGACCTCTAATCTAGAAAGTCAAATGATTTTTCGTTTAAATTCGTTTAAATTAAAATTAACCCTAAGCCAAAAGATACGTTGTTTATTGCAAATTATATTTTTGTTTTTTAATCAAAGGTATATGATGTGTCTAAATCATAAAAATAAAGTAGATTTATCTAAAGTATTGGTTGATTAAATGTTGTTTGTTTCATTCTGAGTTACTTTATTATATAATTTGGGTGCGTTCGTAAGTTATTTGGGATTTACAATAACAAATATGGTTGCACATCGAGTTCTTGGGTTTTCGCGATTGTTACACATAGGAAATGAAACTATTTTTCCGGATTTGATTTCTTTTTCAAACAAACCAACGTTTCGGGTTCTTTATAGGTCTAATGGTCACGGTTGACTTTATTACACGATTTAAATCCGGAAAAATAGTTTAATTTTCCAAATATGGTTGAATGAAAAAAAATTTTCTCGAAAAGTTACGAAAAATGCCTTAAAAACAAAAGTTACTTACATATTACGCGAGAGTATCAAAAGTTAACAAAGAAATGTAACCAACTGACAACATTGAAAACACTAATATCATTATTATGGGGTGTTTTATTCTCTAAAATGACTAGCCATTGGTAAAACAGTGTAGGCAGCACTAGGGGCATACATGCTCTGAGTGAAGTTACTTCTAGACTGATATCTAGGCACAAACACAAAGAACCATAGAGCGATTAAAGCTAATATTATGCAGAAGGCGACACCGGCGATCGTGACACCGATGAAGTGTCTATCCTGCTTGGGGCACGTGAAGTACCGGGGTTTCAAATCGAAGATTTTAGAGTTGTACGTCGGTTTTGGTGATCCGCATCTGGAAATCAGTAAATATTTAATTGAAAACATGTACCCGTCATACGTCAAGCAGTAATGTGAGTATTGCTGGGTTCCGGTTTTGAAGAGTAAAGGTGTTGGTGAAATCACAGGCGACGCAACCGAAGTGTCATGACGGAAACAGATATCAAAAGTAAATCTTAGCAGAAACGGAAGCGGATGCGGAAGCGGCTTTGACACTATAAAGTTCTCAACGAAATAGTTCCAAACAGGGCTTGTGTTTGGTTTCATAGTTGCAGTTAATACAACACAAAACTGCTAGACTGCCAAGCAAAATGCGCTCGCGACTGGCCCATCGCGAACGTTATAAATTTCGATAAACGTTCTGTTGTAAAATTACGGAAGCAGAAACGGAAACAGATGT